ACCATAATAATTTTAAAATTATAACATATGCAAAAACCACTAATTTAAATGATAATAATATCAAATCTTTATGGTTATCTCTCCTTTTTGAGTTGCAACAAAAAACAAAAATCAATTTTRTCCTAAACTGGAGTTTTATAAATTCTATTTTCCGCCGTTTTTTGTGAGTTTTTTTTTAATAATCACTTGGAATTTTCCATCAATTAGTTCAAACACTTCAAACTAAGAATAATTTCCTTCCAGAAATAACATCTGAAGTTTGAAAATTAAACAATTTTTTTTGCCTCTAAACTTGAAGACCGTAAAAAAAAAAAATCATACACAGTCTAAATTATACTTTGTAAAAAATGATATAATTAATTATTAATTAACTTGAGTATTTTAATTTGTAATTTGATATTTGGTTTTTTTGGACGTTAAAATTGTATTACAAAAGAATATATAATTGTCCAATAGAATTTGGATAAAAAACAATAATATGTAATCAATGTTTTGTTAATATATAAATATTGTTAAATGTTTTAGGYGATGTTAAATACAAACCCCATATTACATGTCAACCAGAGATAAGATCATTAGTTTTAGATGGAAATGAAGAATTTCTAGTTCTGAGTAGTGATGGTTTTTGGGAGTATACAACACCTGAAGAAATAGCAGAAACTATTTACGACGAGTTGCTTGAGACTGATGGTGAGTGAAATAAATATAACATATATAAGGGTGATATTGTTTGGCTTAGCTGTCCCTAAAAATCATTATAATGGCAGTATATAAAAGGGCCCTAGTCAAATGTCATTGCTTCTACAAAAAAGATAAATAACTATTTTTGACTTGTGCTCCATACAAAATTGCATTTTGGTAATAAAAGCAGTATCAATTGAGAAGGAAGGGTCCATCCCTTATATATTCTGTGAAAATCAATACATGTATTAGTATATTTATTTAATATTCTTATATGATGATTTTTGTTGTATTAATTTCTTTATTAGTTCTATTTTTCCACCAAATTACAAGATTAAATATTGTGGTTTTTTATTTAAAAGGACCTATTACACAGAATTTTCACCAAATAACCTTGTTATGTCCTTGCTTGATT